ATTGCTTCAAACGACAAAGTAAGATGTTATGGTCCACGGTGTCAAAAGCAGCTGATAAGTCTAAAAGCATACCTGCAAAATATTCTGTGTCAATGGTTGCTCATTAGTCTGTAGCTTTACTGGAACTTTTCATGAACCTGTGGACAGATTTCGAGACCTGTGAAGCAACCTTTACACAAAAAGACTGTAATTCTGACAGTTTTACAGATACAGAGTGTTAGTAGCTGAAAGTGATTTAGACTTTATGAAGTGTTACTTTTGTCATTATGGCTCCCTGTCAAATTCAGAACAGAATTCAAAATCCTACTTCTAACCTACAAAGCCCTCAACAACCTAGGTCCATCTTATATTAGAAATCTTATTGTTCCATATTTTCCTAACATAACTCTAAATTGTCCCTAGGTGTGAGTGAGAGAGTGAATGGTTGTTTGTCTCGTTTGTCTCTATGTGTCCCTGTGATGGACTTGCGACCCGTCCAGGGTGTACCCCGCCCCTCGCACAGTGATTGCTGGACATGGGCACCAGCGACCCCCGTGACCCAAAATGGAATAAACGGGTAAAGAAAATGGATGGATGGATGGATGGATTTTCCTAACAGAGCACTTGGCTCTCAGACTGCAGGCTTACTTGTGGTTTCTAGAGTTTCCAAAAACAGAATGGGAGGAAGATCTTTCAGTTATCAGGCTCCTCTCTTGTGGAACCAACTTCCAGTTTCTGTCCGTGAGGCTGACACATTGTCCAGTTTTAAGACTGGACTTAAGACTTTCCTTTTTGATAAATCCTATAGTTAGGGTTGGCTTGTTATTCTGTCATAGGCTTAGACTATTGGAGGACAAGATGACCTAAAATCTTAAAATGAATTTTTAAAATTGAATAGTTTTCATTTGATACTATTGCTAAAGAGACCATCTTAGCACCAACATAACTGGTTTGTTCCAATTTGGAGTAAGCTGTTGGGGGAAGAATAAGTTCTGTGTTGTGTGTTTCCTTGACTGATGAAGCCTTCTGGATGGAAGGTGAACCATTGCAGCACACAAAAAAAAAAACCTGTCCAGATGACCTGACTGAAAATAGTTTAATGTATTTTGTAGTTGCATGGGCAGCAGCATAACAAAACAGCAACAAGTAAAGGAATTAATAGTTTCAGCGCACGTTCATTCATTCATTCAACCTTTATTTAGACAGGTTAATCCCATTGAGCCTCGGGGACTCATTTACAAGAGAGACCTGATTTCTTTAACAAAGAGTGATGACAACAGTGGACAACAGAGACAATAATAGACAATCATAAAGGATGCTTTCAAGTTGAGATTTGTTTAAGCTATCCTCATCCACATTGAAGCTATCCTCTGAAGCCAGCAAATTTATGGTCCAAATTCCTCATGACTTATTTTGGACAGAAACTAACACAGTCCCCTGTCTTTGTCTCTGCAGGAGTGTCTCTTTGAGTGCACAGAAACCGTTTCCCCTTCCTTCTCCTGGGACCTCTGTCATAAAACACTTTCGTCACCCACTTTCTCCCTGGATGGTAACATGAGAAAAAGATCTCAAGAAGAGGCTGATGTTCTATTTCCTGAGGAAAAGGAGCAGATGGAAGGAGGCCTGCTTCTACCCATTGCATTACAGAGGCTGGACCTTGTGACCCGGTTGCTTGACCTTAACCAGAAGGGTTTGTCTGGCAGTCAACTGAGCACCGTCTATGATTCTCACAGTGCCCTTGAGAATGAGTATGAAGATAAGGATGAAGAACAGGAAGATGACGATGCTGATGTGGGAGAAACAGAAGGGGATGATCCACAGCTGAGTGTTTTTAAGAGATTTGGTGGCTTCATTAAAGGAAGGCACGGTTACAGGAAACTTACATCTTCAGGAAGGTCGTACCAGAAGAGATATGGTGGCTTCACTGGTATTCGGAAGTCAGCACGCAAGTGGAACAACCAGAAACGTTTCAGCAAGTTTCTGAAGCAGTATCTAGGGATGACCACTCGGGCCAGAGAGTTCAACAACATGTCAGGTGACCCCACCCAGCAGAACGAAGTTTAACAGAGTGCACTTTTAAACCTGCACCATGAAAAAAATATCTGATGTGTTTTACTGACCTGGTTGCTCTCAGCTGATTGGCCTCTCAGCATTTAATATCAGAATAAACTAATTAAAAATAAAGAAACAAATAAAAGAAAAATGTTTTTGTAAAACTACCATCAGAGTCCTTGTCATCATAGGACAATTTGTTTTTCATTTCCTTTTACTTGAGTAAATAACCAAACCCTTTATAAATGTTTGAATTAAAATTGATTTTCACAGTCTGTAATAACAAAAAAATGACCATGTTGAAATGTTAATTATTTCATGATTTAGGCTACCTAAATAATTTATATTTCACATTTAGTTTTCCTAATTAAATCCATCAGTTTCTATTGTATTTGCCTTTTTATTTCATTTCTATTTATATTGAAACATAATTTTATGGTCTCAATATATTCTAAAGTGTATTATTATTATTATTATTATTATTATTATCCCTACCATGCGTCTTCTTTGTGATACCTTTCCAGACAATTAGGAATGTGTCAATCATTTTGTTTTATTATGGCGCCATCTAGTGGTAAAATCTTGATAATGCTAATGGTGCATTTGTACTTTAAAATATTGTTTTGATCATTTTCTCGGTTTGAAAATAAGGTAAACTGCAGTAGTATTACTGTATTGTGATTTATATTGAAAGTAAAAATACAGCACCATCTGTAATTTTGAGACGTATCTGCTCCCAAAACACACCTGAGACCAGAATAGTGAGGCAACATAAAAAGATAATTAACTATAAGACAACAAACAGCCTGCAACCATCATTAAACATTACAACACTAGTCAGTCCTACTTGACTGAAACTGTGTATATGTGAGCATAATCTTTGAATTTAGTGTTTGAAAAGTATATTCTTGTATGTACAAAGTGTATTTGAACTGTACTGATGTAGTGTTTTATGCATACCAGTATGAATCCTGTAAATAGTTTAATTTATGCCAATAAATATAGTTTATTATTTCCTTTGTGGCTTGTCATGCAGCAACTGCTTCTTTGTGTGGAAGTATTTTCTTTGTAAAATTTATAGTGTTGTGGTGTTTGAGCTCTTTTATTTTAGATGCTGTATGACTATTGTAGTTTTCTACATTATAGAAACATTATATGTTTCTACATTATAGTTTCTACATTATAATTTCTACATTATATATGGGAATTTCTTACTCTAACATTTGTGCTAAAGTTAGAAATGCTGATAATTTGGTAATATGCACTATTTTTTCCACTCTCTGGAAAGACATTAGGTTCACACATTTCATTTGACTCATTGTATAAATCCCTCCACCTCACCCCACCACCCCAAAAAAGGAAGAGGAATGTTTACAAGTTTAAGCTGGTAATAAAGCCATCCATCCATCCATCCATCCATCCATCCATCATTTTAACCCGCTTCTTCCTTAATCATGGGGTCACTGGTGCCCATATACAGCAGTCACTGTGCGAGAGGCGAGGGACACCCTCGACAGGTCTCCAGCCCATCACAGGGACACAGAGACAAACAACCATTTACTCTCTCACTCACACCTAGGGACAATTTAGAGTTACCAATCTGCCTAACATACATGTTTTTGGTCTGTGGGAGGAAAACAGAGTACCCGAAGAAAAGCACGCATGCACGGAGAGAACATGCAAACTCCACCCAGAAAGGCCCCTGGACCAGGATTGGATCCAGTGACCTTCTCGTTGAGAGGCAACAGCCTCTACCAACTGTGCCACCGTGCTTGCCCTAGTAATAAAGCAACTTCGTTTTTTTTTTTTTTGCAAAAATAGTTAACTAAAATCTATTTCAGAACATTGAACAAAGGACACATGTTTATTACAGAGTTGTAAAATGACTGACAAGAAAAACTGCCATGTTGGGAGTAAATCCATCACCATAAGTAAAAGTCTTAAATCTTAGTTAAAGTCAAAATATATTTTATTTTAAGTATCATTACTTTTGTTTCTTCGTAAATCTACATAGTGTTTTAGTATTTGTCATTTAAATTAATAAACAAGTTCACATTTGAGCGCCTAATAATTAAAGCAGCATTTATTGCGCTGAAACTCAGACGTCTCTGTTGGATCTTTTTGAAGACAAAGCTAAGCCAGTAGTACCCACACACATAAAAAACATAAATGTTTTCAAAACACTAATTATATTTGAATTATAAATGGACACTATACATTCTATTAAGATTTTAAAGGGCTTAACAATCATTCAATGAGTTGATTCACAATAATAAAATAAAATAAATTAAATGTACACAGACAAAACAAAAAAGATAATGCTTTCTGCAGTTCTGAATGTTTATATGTTATGTTAGATTAACATTAAGCCAACGCTTGGTAATTTATTTTGCTTTTAAAAAAACAAAAGGATCTTGGAAAAAAAAATTGCTTTAACTTTGAAGGGTGAAACCGGAAGTAATACAAAACATCCGGCTTGACTTATCTGAAGACTTTCGCCGCCCATTATATCAGATGTTTTCTGGTTATTACGTCTACTAACACGACACCAGGATTTGGTTGACTTGGTAAGTTTGCGTTGGTGAACACTTGAAAATCTTAATTTGTTGTTAGTTACTCGGTTTAGTTACTCATTAAACAAAGTAACCAAGATTAGCTAGCTTCGTAAGTAGCACAACAAGCTAAGTAGTTTGCAGCACTGTGATGCTAACTTTCTCCACCAGCACGAACTCCTCCAAATATCAAGACTTGTTCCACATAACTCATAAAAATGGTTGTCTAATGTTATTTATCTTCAAGCAGAAGATTCTGAAGTATTTAAAGGCAATGACAAATCTTCTAGAGCTAGCGGTCTTGCTAAGGTTATAGTTTACGAGCAAGCACTGGAGCTATCTGTGATCTGTAATAACAACTTCGATCAGCTTTTTGGTTTGTGTCTTTTAGCAGTTTAGCAGCTTTTAGTAAATTAGCCACAGTTATAGTACTGACCGGACATTTTCTGTGAACTTTGATGTGTGTGTTTTAAAGAAAACAGCTATGCGCAGCTGTGTGCGGAGCTCCAGGGCTCTGTCCCCTGCCTTGTTCCCCAGCCTGCTGCTTCCTCAGACGGGGTTCAGGCTGGTCGGCAGGAGTCTCTGGACCTCCCCCCGGTGTTTGACTGTCAGCGGGGACTCCCAGCTGCCTCCTCTGCCCAGCCAGGCCCGGGTAGTAATCTGTGGAGGGGGGATTGTGGGGACATCTGTGGCCTACCACTTGGCCAAACTGGGATGGACTGATATTGTGCTGCTTGAGCAGGGCAGGTGAGATAACAGAAAGACTAAGCTTCTTTTTTTTTTGTATTTCTAAAAAAGAAAGAAGACCCTTCCACTTGTTAACTCTGTAAATGAAGTTAAGCTGTTGTTTTGACTGGAAGAAACTATAATCTGCCTCTTGTTATCACTGTCACTAACTATTTGTTGACGACGCCGAGTAATATTTTGCAGGTGTAAAAGCACATTTGTTTGTTACATATTTATGTAAAGAGAACAGTTTGATTTGTTTTTACTGTACTAATGCTTCTATGCTATTTCTTTGAAGACTTGGTGCAGGAACAACCAGACTGTGTGCTGGGATTGTGAGCATGGCTAAACCTATTTCTATTGAATGTCAGATGGCCAAATACTCCATTAGTCTTTATCAGCAACTGGAGGAGGAGACGGGAGTTAAAACAGGTCAGACATCATCATATTTATCAATTGTTACAAAGAAAGATGCATCATACATGTGACTGTAGACAGTTCCCACTGTATGAATCCATCAGCTCTACTTCTGTTTTTACTTTCATACAACTTATGAAACTTATTAAATTTGTCATGTGGTGTAACATTTACTTTATGTATATTCTTTTATCAAAACTGGAATAATAATGATGCATTATCCTCCTTTAATAATGTGTCTTCTGAGGCTGAAATCATGCCTTGATGCGTGTGTGTTGTAGGTTATGTGAGGACAGGTTCTTTGTGTCTGGCACAAAATCAAGACCGCTTCATTTCTCTTAAGCGTCTGGCTTCAAGACTCAAGTAAGACCTCAAGTCAATACTTATTAGAGAATGTACCAGAGTCTGTATCCACTTTATTCCTAGCTCCCATGCTGCCTTGCGTGACTTATGGGCACAACTTCCTTCGCAAACCAGCACCAGCATTTGTTTATGTGTGAACAGTACGAGCTAATGTAGTTTAACCGAGCACTGTGGATTTAATTTAAACGTGGGAACACCACCTGTCAGAGCTCAGGCAGGACAATATAATCATACCGCTGCCTACTGCGGACGAGGCATGGGAGGACGATCTGAAAAAGCGTCTGCAAATTACATACACTAGCATATTTAGCTACTTCATTGACTCGGTTGCTTCAGATGGTGAAGTGATGAACAACCTGAACATCTCTGAGTGTATTAGTATCTACACAGTAATAAGGTCGGCTGTGTTTTGTTAAAAGTGGTGGGACACAATCTTATTTACCTTAAAGCAGACAGAGCCCAGCCAAAGCCTTAAAGTCCTCCATCACAGAGCTTTGGATAGTTGCAGAGAAAATTGTAATACTGAAGATGAACAAATACAATAATGCTGTGTCCTCCATACCCTTGAAATCATACCTGATATTCTCATCACACTGTTTTCAATCCTTCTGAGGATCCGGCGTCTCTGCTCCGGTGGTTTATTTTAGCCCAGCTACAACGTAGGATGCAGGTTTTCCTCTGTTGGCCGTTTGTCAACAAAGTGAAATGAGCACACATACAGCATTTTGGGTGGTCTCTTCAAGTTCAGATATTTCAGCCACATTCGTCTTAATTCCTCATCTATAATGGTGATGTAATCAGGTGATGGAAAACATACCGCTTTTCACAGGAACACTATTTTTTTGGGGTCTGTGTTCAAAACAATGTTGTTGAAGCCACTGATTTAGTTTGGTCTTGTTGTTTGTGAAGCTGCACACACAACAGGTACCTGAACGCAACAAGGCTATTTTAGTAAACTGTATGGTTGTTAAATAAATGTGAACAAAACAAAAACAGCGTTTTATCTGCTAAACTGAATCAAATAACTTTCAAATAAACGAGGTCCATACTCTGCTACCATGGTTAACCATTGCTTACTTCTACTTCCCTTGTCTGACAGGAAGTTGTACTCATAATCATTTATACAGTAGAGCCCACGGGAATAAGGTGGATAGATGTGAGAAGAAAAGTTATTTTTAATTTATGCCCATTATAAATAACCATTCATTTTATTCTCAGGGTGTTGGGAATAAGTTGTAACGTTATTAAACCTAAAGAGGTGGCCAAACTGCACCCTCTTGTTAACATTCATGACCTGGTCGGGGCGCTCCACCTCCCCACTGATGCTGTGGTGTCCTCCCCTGACGTTAATCACGCACTGGCTGTTGCTGCTGCAGGACAAGGTAACCTCAGTCCACAAATATTTTAGGTAAAATTATTTACAAACATCCTTAATCCTGGTACTGTTCATATATTCTTGGCTCTTAATCTTTGGTCTCTTTGGCTCTCTTATCATTCCAGGGGTTCAGATCCTGGAGCGAACCAGTGTACAGCAGGTCCATGTGGAAAAGGACCATGTGACCGCTGTAGAGACCGACCGTGGCTCCATTGAGTGTGAATATTTCGTCAACTGTGCTGGTCAGGTAAAGCTCAGAATGAGAACATGCTTTGAATGCAATGCTTTAACACCATACCAGCTTTATTTATGGAGCACTTTAAACACCCACAGGACCAAAGTGCTGTACACATAATAAAACAATCATACACTCAGATAATAAAAAAGTATTAAAATTATTAAAAGTCAACATTTCAGATGGTGTCAAAGACCAGGGAGAAGAGATGGGTTTGAAGAAGGGATTTAAAAACAGACAGGGAAGAGGCCTGTCTGATGTTCAAGGGAAGGTCATTCCATAATTTAGGAGCTGCCACAGCAAAAGCACGGTCTCCTTTGAGCTTACGCTTTGTTTTTGGCATACTTGGGAGCAGCTGATCACATGACCTGAGGGATTGAGAGGGTGTGAAAAAACTAGATTTAACAACTGCTCTGATGTGATTTTCTAACTTTAGTCCAGCATCGATTTTGACTCCTAGATTTTGTAATAGTTGACCTGAAATACTGGACCAAGGAACCAACATCCACATTGGGAGTCTCAGTGGAGCTTCCAAAGACCATCACCTCAGTCTTTCCTTTATTGAACTTTAAGAAGTTCACAGCCATCCAAGCTTTATTGTCCTCCTGACATGAAAACAGAGGGGCCAGAGAGTTAGAGTCCTTTTTCTTTAGTGGGACATATATCTGTGTATCATCTGCGTAACAATGAAAGGAGATCCCATATTTTCTAAAAATAGAGCCAAGAGGAAGCAGGTACAGCGTGAAGAGGAGGGGGCCTAAGACTGAGCCCTGTGGAACCCCATACAAGAGAGGAGCAGAGGAGGACATGTGATCACCAAGACGGACACAGAAAGTACGGACCTAAACCAGTTCAGTGCTGTACTGCTGACAGCCCCCATTGTTTCAAACGACAAAGTAAGATGTTATGGTCCACTGTATCAAAAGCAGCTGATAAGTCTAAAAGCAGGAGGACAACACAGTCACCAGAGTCAGTTGCTAAAAATACCTCAACATCAACTTTAATTAAGAATTTGAGAAGGAAACCTTTTGTAAAGGAGTGTTTCTTTGGTTCTCACAGAGATTTAGTTTGCACCTTTTGTTATATTGAGGTCTATGTTTACATTTTTGGTTTTAGTCTCCAGCTTTAGCTTAAATCATTTTAGGCTCATTTTATTTGGTAGGTTCATATTTTAATAATCCATCTGATAGACATATTTGCTCTCTCTTTCTGCCGCAGTGGGCCTATGAGCTGGGTCAAGCTAGTGAGGTGAAGGTATCCGTTCCTCTTCATGGATGTGAGCACTTCTACCTCCTCACCAAACCTCTCCAGGAGTCACTTTCACCCAACACGCCAGGTCTCAAATCAAACACACGAGTTAATAATTCCATCTTTATTTAATGTTTGAGAGTAACTTTTTGTGTGGTATATTGCTACTACTACTACAAGCTTCTCCTGATCAAACACTTGGCTTTTTTAACTGCTAGTCAAAAGAATAAACTAGAAAACAGGCAGAAGCCTTAATAATAATAATAATAATGAATTTAATTTGTAACGCACTTTTCATTAACAAAAATCTCAAAGTGCCTTACAGGTGCTGGTCATAAAATTAGAATATCATTAAAAAGTTGATTTTATTTCAATAATTTCTTTCAAAAAGTGAAACTTGTATATTATATTCATACATTACACACAGACTGATATATTTCAAATATTTATTTTTTTAATGTTGATGATTATAACTGACAACTAACGAAAACCCCAAATTCAGTATCTTAGAAAATTAGAATATTACTTAAGACAAATAAAAAAATAATTTTTAGAAATGTTGGCCAACTGAAAAGTATGAACATGAAAAGTATGAGCATGTACAGCACTCAGTACTTATTTGGGGCTCCTTTAGCTTGGATTACGGCAACAGTGTGGCGTGGTATGGAGTTGATCAGTCTGTGGCACTGCTCAGGTGTTATGAGAGCCCAGGTTGCTCTGATAGTGGCCTTCAGCTCTTCTGAATTGCAGGATCTGGCATAGCACATATTCCTCTTCACAATACCCCATAGATTTTCAATGGGGTCAAGGTCAGGCGAGTTTGCTGGCCAATTAAGAACAGGATCCTTAAACCAGGTGCTGGTAGCTTTGGCACTGTGTGCAGGTGCCAAGTCCTGTTGGAAAATGAAATATTCATCTTCATAAAGATAGTCAGCAGCAGGAAGCATGAAGTGCTCTCAAACATCGTAGTAGATGGCTGTGCTGACCTTGGACCTCAGAAAACACAGTGGACCAACACCAGCAGATGACATGACACCCCAAACCATCACTGTGGAAACTGGCTGTGATTATCATACCCACCATTGCACCCTGTATTCACTGGTTAACTGGACATCATTAACTTCACGCAGACTCTCCCACTGGTACATTTTAATTTTTAAATCACTTCTTGGTCTGCTGCCTTCATACATCTCCTCCTACATGTCTCTGCATGAGTGCAGCTACAGTGTGCGCTCTCAGGACATTATTACCTGCAGTGTTCCCTCAGTGCGGACTGAACTAGGCAAAAGAGCCTTCTCCTACTCCGCTCCTGTTTCCTGGAATATCTTACAAAAAGATCTGAAGCTCTCGACCTTGACCTCTCTAAGTGGCTTTAAGAATCTGTTGGACTCCTGGCAGGGACCAATGCAGACATGTTCCTGTTTTTAGTTTTCTACATTTGCCTTAGAATCTAGCTGTTTTTATGTTGCTTTTCTTTTTTTAGCCATCCTATTTGTTAAAAAAAAAAAAAATCTGTATGACTTTTTGTGACTGTTGTTGTTGCTGTTGTCCATTGTTGTCATCATTCTTTGTTGAAATCAGGGCTCTCTTGTAAATGAGTCCTCAAGGCTCAATGGGATTTACCTGTCTAAATAAACGTTGAATGAATGAACTGTGGAAACTTGACACTGGACCTCAAGCAACGTGGATTCTGTGCCTCTCCTCTCTTCCTCCAGACTCTGGGACCTTGATTTCTAAAGGAAATACAAAATTTACTTTCATAAGAGAACATAACTTTGAACCACTCAGCAGCAGTCCAGTCCTTTTTGTCTCGAGACGCTTGTGATGCTGTCCCTTGTTCAAGAGTGGCTTGACACAAGGAATGTGACAGCTGAAACCCATGTCTTGCATACTTCTGTGCGTGGTGGTTCTTGAAGCACTGACTACAGCTGCAGTCCACTCTTTGTGAATCTCCCCCACATTTTGGAATGAATTTTGTTTCACGGTCCTCTCCAGGGTGCAGTTATCTCTATTGCTTGTACATTTTTTTCCACGTCTTTTCCTTCCGTTTGCCTCTCTATTAATGTGCTTGTACACAGAGCTCAGTGAACAGCCAGCCTATTTAGCAATGACCTTTTGTGTCTTGCTTTCCTTGTGCAATATGTCAGTGGTTGTCTTTTGGACAACTGTCAAATCAGCAGTCTTCCCCATGATTGTGTAGCCTACAGGACTAGACTGAGAGACAATTTAAAGGTCTTTGCAGATGTTTTGAGTAAATTAGCTGATTAGAGTGTGGCACCAGGTGTCTTCAAAATTGAACCTTTTCACAATATTCTAATTTTCTGAGATACTGAATTTGGGGTTTTCATAGTTGTCAGTTAACCATCAACATTAAAAGAAATAAACATTTGAAATATATCAGTCTGTGTGTAATGAATGAATATAATATACAAGTTTAACTTTCTGAATGGAATTACTGAAATAAATCAACTTTTTTATGATATTTGAATTTTATGACCAGAACCTGTGTAGTGACGCTGATAAATCCTAAAGTGAAACTTCAATATTAACTGTTAAAGCTGAGAGGAGCTGGTTTTACAGTGTTTGTGTTGTTTCCAGTGGCAATTGATATGGATGGGAGAATATATGCCAGACCCTGGCAAGGAGGCCTTCTGTTTGGAGGCTTTGAGAAGAACCCCAAACCCATCTTCACTGAAGGCCGCAACCAGCTGGAGATCCAGAACATGCAGGAGGACTGGGATCATTTTGGTAAGGAAGAAGTTGTTTTAAAATACTAATATTTAATGTTTGTGTGTCATATTGTTTATGTCAAGTTAAAATGGTAAGTAAATTGGATTACCCTATACAATATTTTGGGAAGCTTTACCTTACTTATTTTTAATGAAAATTGTATTTAGATTGTAACACAATACAATTTTACAATCAACATCTCTGGTTGAATGTTGTCTTTTTTGGTTATGTGTATGTGCACCCACCTGTCTTTTGTCCTTGGCCTGAAGGTGGTCATTTAATACTCCTCATGTAGTTTGACAGGCTGTCATTATTCAAGACAACGGGTCCTCCAAATCTGGACTGCAGAAAGTATCAAGACACATGATCAAGTTTATTTTTCACAGGTGGCTCTACACTTGCAGCTTTCTACACAAGTCTGCATCTTAAAAAGTCCACTCTGTAATCTTGGAGCTGAAAAGACATGTCTAAGATTTTAATTAGTTATTTTAACTCATCTCAAGTGAAAATTAATAAATGTTATTTCCTCTCAAATGTTAGAAGGTCAGTAAGTGACAATAACCCAAATATAATCAAATACAATGTGTTTAAAAATTGGAGTGATCACCAGAAAATGAGGAGTTGTAGAAAGGAATTAAATGCAGATGTTTTTTTTTTTTAATTCAAAAGGTAATAAGAAAGAAATGGCAGCTTTGTTTTTATTGTGTCGGAAAAACGAGTCATGTAGAATGTGTCTTATGATTTCCTTACATTTTCTGTATTTAAACATAATATTTGTGCCAGTTTCTAGAAAATAACTTGTTTTGAAAGAAGCTGTAAGACCGATTGTTCTACAGCACGGTCTGGTTTGTTTATTACAGAACGTTTGAAAATGCAACACAAAGTGTGCGCGGTCTCAGATTTCATTGTTTCGGCTTTCAGAGCCGATGCTCAGCGCCATGCTGAGGAGAATGCCAAGTCTCGAGTCAGCCGAGATCCATCAGCTGATCAACTGTCCAGAGTCCTTCACGCCTGATATGCGCTGCTTGATGGGGGAGACGCCGGGGGTGTCCGGGTACTACGTATTGGCAGGGATGAACTCTTCGGGTCTGGCCTTTGCAGGAGGAGCTGGCAAGTAAGCAATAGTCAGTCAATATGTCTGCCTATAGAGTATAGTTTTAGAAGCTGGGTTGAACTCTATTCCACGATTAAACACATTGTTTTTTGGATCAAACAAAAAATAATTCACAGAAAGGGCAGCTACCACTTATGGAATGGTCATCCCTGTGATGTTGTCTTGCTGATTGATTGTCCAGTACAACACAAGCAGTCTGTCGTGTGTTGTGTATTTTGATGTGCAGGTACCTGGCAGAGTGGATGAGCTATGGCTACCCCACAGCCAATGTTTGGCCGCTGGACATCAAACGCTTTGGCAACCTGCAGAGCAGCCGAACCTTCCTGCGGCACAGAGTCATGGAAGTAATGCGTGAGTAGTGACCTCTCCTAAAACAGTATTTGTGTTTTTTTTAACCAAAATATTAATATGCTCCAAATCAGTGGCTTTATTTAACTTCACTGTCCTCCTCAGGGCTGTGTAGTTCTTGCATTTGTGATTTTCAGATTATCTTGTTTTTCTAATGCATGTGTGTTTGTCCAGCTTTGCTGTATGAGCTGAAGGTTCCTCGGTGGGACTTTCAGACTGGGCGTCAGCTCAGGACAAGCCCCCTCTACGACCGTCTGGACACCCAGGGGGCTCGCTGGATGGAGAAACATGGCTTTGAAAGACCTAAATACTTTGTTCCTCCCGGGAAAGGTGCAGTATTCTCAATGACGAAGTTCCTTTTTTAAATCTGTTTTTCTTCGGCAAATAATTGAAATTTATGCGTAGTCACCAACAATGTCAACATTGCTCTTCCTAGCCTGCTAATAAAAATGAATGTTTTTTATAAAAAATAATTTGTTTGGACAAATTTCCACAAATTTGAAATATTGAGCTACCTTTTATGACTTCTTACCAAGCAGGTGATTGCATAGAGAAACGCAGGCTTGTATTGTAGTATGATGCCAGCAGTTTTTTGTAGTGTGACTCAGATTTTCAAGGATTTTCAGAGCAACGTTTGGAACAAAATCACGGATTTACCTTTTCATATATTTTAAAATTTCTTTGTAGATCTTCTGTCTTTGGATCAGAGTAAGACCTTCTACAAGCCAGACTGGTTTGACATTGTTGGAGCCGAAGTGAAATGCTGCAAAGAAGCTGTTTGTGTCATCGACATGTCGTCCTTCACCAAGTTTGAGCTGACTGTGAGTCACATTGCACTTCAGACATCTTGTGATTAGTGCTGGTTTATTTCGAGAATAAAATGACTGCTGCCATCCTCTGTGGCTACAGACTGTGAACCAGTGAAGAATGTTTTATCAGAGATTTGTTCAAGGTTTTTTATTGTCATTTGCATCACATGTGGCACATGAGGTGGAATGAAATTGTGCACTCAAGGTCCCAGTTACACCCAAAAATAGTAAAAATTTAAAGTATAAAAAGAAACATTATATAAGGATCTAAGATATACGCTAAACACTAATAATGTAATGGTATGTTTAACAGCAGCCCGAACATGAGTCTGTAGTGAGCAGATGGGTATTAATACTTAAAGGCAAGAGATCAGCAGCATGGATAATCAGCTGCACAGATAAGTCACATATCACCATGGCATTACATTGGCATTGTGCTAGATAATCATAAAGAGATGTTTAAAAACTAGTTTATTGAAATTTTGGAAGCTAAGATCTTTGTTTTCTGAGCTTCGGTGTAGGAAAGATCACCGTATCGACACAGTCATGCCTGACTGCCTGATTCAAATCCCTGCTGGATGGCATAAGGACTAGCCACACCATTTGTTTTGTATATAATCACTAATTTTTTCACAAATTCAAACAAAAATGGTCCAATCCTGCATTGTGGCTGGATGCGCAAACATGTGGGAAAAGGGGAGTAGAATTTCCTGGCACCAAACACCAAGTAGAACAACCCAGATGGAGGAAACAAGGGACTCTCATGATCAACAGAAAGGGCTGGATTCAGAATAATGAGGGCCGTGTCTGTGGCTCACAAGAGAGAGACTCGTGAAATTATGACTATGTTTGATACTTAACCTGGTAAATATAAATCAGATAATAATGATTCGATTCTCTTCTTTTAGCGCCTTGTTCATTGTTGGCTGTTTGTTTTTAGCCATTCAACATACCACGCACAATCTTCCTCATTGTAAGCATCTTCAGTGTTAAAGTTAACTGATTTACACTCTGCTCTGTCCTCATGTCTCAGTCAACAGGAGACCAGGCTTTGGAGCTGCTGCAGTATCTGTGTTCCAACGACTTGGACGTTCCCGTTGGACACATTGTCCACACCGGCATGCTGAATGAGAGAGGAGGCTACGAGAACGACTGCAGCGTGGTTCGCCTCAGCAAGAACAGGTTTGAAACATCTGAGCAGTAACGTTGTAGCTGCGTAGTCTATTATGACTTAAAACAACCAAAGTGAGAATAATTCAAATGTTTTGTTTTTTCTTTAGCTTCTTCATCATTTCTCCAACAGACCAGCAGGTCCACTGTTGGTCCTGGATTAAGAAGCATATGCCCAATGACCCACACCTCCACCTAGAGGATGTCAGCTGGAAGTACACAGGTGTGCAGCCAAAACATTACAAGTGTTCTGTCTTTACGACTCTGCTTAGGGCCATATTATTTATACATTTAAATAGATTAAAACACTATTCTGTCAGATTAGAGATTGAAGGTACTGTGTTTTTGTTGTTTGATAAACAAAAAGGGAAAATGAAACGGGTGGAAGGAGGGTGGTGGACAATTATAAATGCAAAATGTGATTTCTAGATTTTTTTTCTAATTCCATTATTCTCCTAAGGTGTGAACAATTTACAGCCTCCATTCTACATCTGAATAACAAATAGGACCATGAAGATGGAGGAGACTCATTATAAAGATCTCTAAATGTTCACTGTTCATAACTCTCATCCTTTACTCGTAGCCTTAAACCTGATCGGACCCCGTGCGATAGACGTTCTGGCTGAGTTGTCATACGTTTCCATGACCCCTGAGCACTTCCCGTCCATGTTCTGTAAGGTAAAAAAAAAGACCAATTGGAGCAAAGCTGATGATTTGTTTGCGTTTTTGTCTTTTGTTCTGTATATATTTTCAAAAACCGTAACCGACTTTGTGTATGTGCTTACAGGAAATGAGTGTGGGCTATGCCAACGGGATCAGAGTGATGAGCATGACTCACACTGGAGAACCAGGATTCATGCTCTACATACCAATAGAGGTGCACCCTGCATGCACACAAACAACATTTAGACAACATGCTGCTTCTTTCCTGTTGATTAACTGGCATGTGCAATGTATGAAAACAGCTTCTGCTGTCACAGCTAACTCGTATATGGATCTGCTCTTTGCAGTACGCTCTGCACGTGTACAACGAGGTGATGTCGGTGGGTCAGAAGTACGGCATTCGTAACGCAGGCTACTACGCTCTGAGGAGCCTTCGCATCGAAAAATTTTTCGCCTTTTGGGGTCAGGACCTTGACGCCTTCACAACCCCGCTGGAGTGCGGACGAGAGTTCAGAGTCAAGTTTGACAAGGTTTGTTTGTCTGGAAGAATACGTGAGATCCAGTAACAGAGTGGACATGTCTGTCTGTCACATCAGGTCACATTCTGTCAGTGAGGGGATTTTTTGGCAAAGTTTAACAGGTTCGTTGTGTTCTATTCCATTCAAGTTTGACATCTGTTTTCTAATAAAACGATCAGTCTGGATTATAAATAGCCTTTTTTAGTGAGGGTTGTGGAAAATTTCACCTTGCTGCAGGGGAAGACACTTTAAGTCTGCAGTTACAAAGTTTACTGACAGTATCCTTTTGATAATTGTGAGATATCAGCTGTGTTGTCTTGCAGCTGTTGTTTCAGCAGCACAGTGTTAACAGGGGCTGCACAGTTCAACGCTGTCTTCATGAACAGTTTTTACAGAAAGCTGCGCAGGCTTCGCAACATTCCATACCTGTTTCTCCTCTTTGTTCATTTCTTTGACTTTTGTTTTCTTGTTTTGCCTTCATCAGGACACTGATTTCCTCGGCCGCGAGGCGTTGCTGCAGCAGCGTCAGGAAGGTGTGTTCCGAAGGTTTGTCATGCTGGTTCTGGAGGACCACGACACGGAGCTGGATCTGTGGCCATGGTGGGGCGAGCCAGTCTACTGCAACGGTCAGCTGGCTGGAACGACCACCAGTAGCGCATACAGCTACACACTGGAGCGCCACGTCTGCCTGGGCTACGTGTCCCCGCCACCGAGCTCCGAGGGGCTCCCCACACCCATCACCCCTGACTTCATCAACCGTGGCGACTACGAGGTGGACATTGCTGGTCAGCGCTACCCGGCCAAAGCCAAGCTGTACCCATTCAGCTCCCTCTTTGCCCAACAAAAACGGAGGAAGGTAGACATGGAGCTCAGCAACCTCCAGGGAAAGTGAGACCAAGTTCATGGACAATCTCCCTCTGAGACACTCCCATCAGTTCTCCACATCCACTCCGACTCTAACCCCACGCTGCCAACATCTGTTCCACTTTACAGCTTCTAATGCAAGGACTAGATGTCCAAACACTTCTTGTTCTGCTAATATTTAATTTCCAACTAGTGTTCTCTTTTTTCAAAGTGCAATATTTGAGACGCGCCAAACCCTTGCATTCATCACATTTAGCCCCACACTGATCCACGCTCAGTCCACACGGTCTGCTGCTGTGTCTTATCAAGTCGAGATGAACTCTAGCTGATGCAGACTTGCTTGGTTTGTTGACTTGAACCCATCCAGAAGGAATGTGGATGATCTTATTTCAGGTACTGTAAACCTTCCTTGTTGGACAATCTGAATGAGTCTGACAGAAACGTCTGTGCCGGCATATAAATCCAAATATTTACTAACAGTAAATATGTGAGAAGAATCAGTGACATGATGCATATCATATTATTTGCACTCTTCATTTCTCTCAGCTTCACAACACTAGACTTGAGAAAATCTAACAGCATTTTACAAAAGGGAAAAAGGCTTCAAGAAGTCTGGGATTAGGATTAGTAATCCAGCATCATGTGTGCCACCTTACAGTTCATCCAGTCCTGCTGTGAACACTTCCAGATGTTCGGAGTAAAGGACAGCCTCTTCCTCCTTTGTCCGCTGTGAGCTGCTGTGTCGCCGTGTGTGTGTGCAGAGCTCGTGTTAACGTATCTTATAATATAACCTGATTGGTTATTTATGATTTGTGGTCATTTTGAAACGTTGATGCACTTTGGAGGTTTCAAATGAGTTTTATTGCTCTTTCTTGTTTTGTTTTTTGTTTCCTGTGTGGTCAATGGGAGAGCGAATCAATCATCTCATGCTTTTAAAATTGTGTAATGGAAGAATTTCATTGTTTTTTGAAATAAAAAATGTATTTTTGTATAGTGTGTATAAAAATCTAAATTAGTACTGTAATTTTTTTCATCAGTTTTGAGTCATTTCAGCGACAAAGTTATTTGATCAGTTCAGTGTAGTCGTCCGTGTGCATCATTTCACTTGTCTGAAGATTCATAAAGAGCTCCAGCTTTTATAGGAATTTATTATGTTGCTCGAAGAGCAGAGCTGCTGGAAATAGGGATGCACAATATTGGATTTTGGCCGATATCCGAAATGCCGATATGTTAAAACTTATTTGGCCGATAACCGATACCAATACCGATATGTTTTCCCTAGACCAGGGGTCCGCAACCTTTACAATCAAAAAAGCCTTTTTTCACTTTTGTTCACTACATTAAACGTGTCTGGAGCCGCAACACCCTGCTACACCTGTGGTTATCAACTGGTGGCCCATGGGCCACTTTAGGTTTGCTGTAGGAAGCTTATGTGGCCAGTAAGTGTGACATTATCAAGCAAAAAATATCTAATGATTTTGACATTTATTAAAGTAAAAGACCAGATTCTTGTAAAGGGGGACATTTTTCAATTTTTACCATCAGTTGTTTTAATTAAAAATTATAAACTATGCAGACACTTCTTCATATAAAGAAATAAAGCATAAATATAAAGTTTTACTCCTTGTACTTGCTCCGATGTTCACATATTTACAAAATAAATTACAGTAAAATGGCTAAAACGAGTTATTTTTTATTGTTTGTATAACAACCAATAAAATTCAGGTTTATGTCTTTTGGTCAAAGTTTGAAAGTGCCGCTGCGGAGGAAACAAAGAGCCGCATGTGGCTCCAGAGCCGCAGGTTGCAGACCCCTGCCATAGACCTACTTACAGAGACAACATATGTATATATGTGTGTACATATACATATATATATATATGTATATGTACACGCGACAGTGCTTTCTATATCGATGAGTTATTTTGATGGAATGGTCGCTAATTAACTTTGTCGCTAATGTCAGCCAATACCTTGCCAATAATATCGTGCATCCCTAGCTAGAAACAAATGAGTTTGGTGTGAAATTCATCTGTGGCCACACTGATCACATCTCAAAAGTTATCGGTAATCACTATAGGTAAATTAAAATAAAAGAATATTGAATTAATTTAGAACTTCATGCATTTGTTTGTCTTCATCTTCAATTCATTTGGGGACTGAAGCAGTCATGACGGGTTTTCTAGTTAAAAATTGCTGCCCCTTTGCAAAACAATCTCATGAAGAATGCTTCAATGAACTTGTTTTATTTGATTTAGCAGATGAAGCACATCTGTACAAGCTACCCTGAAAGGATGAATGCAACTAAAAAAAATCTGCACTGAACCAATTTGATAAATTATGTCTTACGGAGCGCAGGAGGACTTTAATGGTGCCGTTTTACTACACGGCTGCTGCTGCGTGCTTCAGAATAGATGAAGGACAGCATCACTTCATCTGGAGCTGCAGCTGGAGCTCTGATGTTTCCAGGAAACGTTTAAACGTGACGCAGCGGTGAATAAGTGTCAGGTTAAGTGCTGTTTCACTGCTCATATTGGTGCTTTGAGTCTGACCTGTGTTCTACTGATGTTCTTGTGTCCAATGTTCCGTGTGTTATTCCTTCCTGTCTGGATTTAAGACAATTGGTTCTGCTCTAAAACAAACCACTTTTCCCAACTAGGATGTATCTTTGTATTAAAGCAGTTATGATCCAATAATTTAATTTTTTATTTTTGAAAAATACACTTTTTAAAACTGATTACCAACTAGACATTTTGCACATAACCATCTGCTAATTAGTAGAACTTCATTTTTTAGATAATTTTTTTTAATATGGCCTTAGAACATCTGTTTCTTTAGATGAAAAATAAATGTCATTCATTCAAAAAATTGAAGAAAAAAGTTTATGAAAATACTTTGAGATCACTTATTCATTCTTGTTTTATTACATTTATACACAATAACTTCGAAGATAAACATATTTTTTTAAATGTGTGCAAAAACTCATGTGCTCAAGGTAAAAAACCAAAAAACTTTGATCATACAATGTTGAAGATCCTTCGTTGGTTCACTAATCGCTGAGCAGACAAAACCTTTTAAATTTTGTCTCAGACTCCCAAACAAATGAAACTGATGTTTTCCTTCTTCTGTTGGAGGTAGAAAGAAAGGCTTCAATTCACAGCCTTATAACTTCCATCAGGAAGAAGATGGCTGCTTAAGATTTATATATGAAGCATGTACATATGAAGGTGTCTGCAGTTTCAGACTCGTATGTGCACGACAGCATTCACGGCGAGTGCAGACATTTTCGATGTTCAAGTCAATGGGGCCGCCAGTCAGTCACTCACTCAATCCACGGCCTTTTGTGGCTCGTAGAACGTGATAGACCAGAGTTAGTTTGTTTGATTCGTCTTGACGCAACCTTTCAAACAGTACCAAGATCACCCAGTGGCTCCAGACCCACCTGGCAGAGACAAATCCTATTACATTTTAAAGTAAGTTATTAGTTTTGATCAGAAACTGGTCAGCTAAATACAAACAGCTACACTGAAAATTTTGCAATTTTATCACATTTGCACAAATATTCAGACCCTTTACTAATTAATATAAAGTTGAAGTACTTTAGGCACTACTGCAGCATGATGCTGCCACCACCATGCATCACTGTTAGGCTGGTACTGGGCAGGTGGTGAGTGGTGACTGGTTCTGTTGAGACATAAAGTAGAGAATAGAGGCCACTCAGTTCAGCTCTGGCTTCATCAGACCAGAGACTTTCGATCCGACAGTTTAAGAATCTGACTTCAAGCGTTTTACTCTGGAAGCTTCCAGTCACTCTGCCTTAAAGCCCAGATCAGTAGAGGCCTGCAGGTATGTTTTTACTGCTAAAAGTAACAGTCCACTGGATGTTTAACAGGAACTGGTAGATTCAGACAGAGAAGCAAAATCCCAGTTGATCAGATAAAACGTCAGCCGTTTGGCTCCGGTCCTCACAGGTACATCTAAAGTGGCAGAAAACTTCAGGACACTTTTTGGATCCGCTCCTGTGAAGCTTTGTGCTCTTTACACGCTGTTGGTTTTGCGCTGTACTCGGACACCAGTCTACTGAGCACAATGAGTGTACCTACAAAGAAACTGAAGGTTTAAGCGTCGACAGCAGCAGCAGAGGACCAAGACATCTGCTCTCTGCTCATTAACACCACCTGCACTCCCGTCCCTGAAATGCATCACATAAAGTCAGCTCAGAGCCAGGAGTTACACAGCAAAACACTTTATTAGCATATGACAAGTTAACAGCTTCTTCAAAGCCTTCTGGCTTTACGTGGGCGGCATCCATTGTGCGGCACGGGGGTGTTGTCACTGATCGATACTATCTCCAGGCCTCCCATCGTCAAGCCTTTGATTGCATTCTGCACAACAGAAAGAGACACATTTAGTCATTAGCAAAGCTAAAGGGAATAGATCAAGATGTTTGCGACTGCTTTAATTATCCTCCTCATTACAAAAAGTCTGAAATTAATTAGAGCGTTGTTTCCTCGAGCAGCGACAAGTTTTACAAGTGCTGAACGCCTACTCATCGATCAATAAAGAACGGGGTCACCGTTAGAAGACGCCAAACTAGTTTCAGTTCATTTAATTACTTCAAATGTTTCTGTGATCCTTCGGTTTCATTTTCAATAATTTATGTAATGATATACATAAACACACACATTCATGTTTCTGTAATCATATTCTCAACAAATGTTACCTTAAGTGAGCTGACGTTTTGTCCTTCATCCAAAGGACTTCATCAGTCTGAGGAGCCACAACAAACTCTGTCCCAAAAGCAGCACACTCCCATAGTGGACCAACCAGTTTGATGGTGATCAGATGGTTTATGGGGCCCACCCTCTCCCCCACTGACCCCTTTTTGGTCCACTATGTGAGTGTGCTGCTTGTGGGACTAAGTTTGTTGTGGCTCCTTGGACTGATGAAGTCCTTTGGATGAAGAACGAAACATCTAAAAAAAAATTAAAAAAAAGTCCAGATGACTTGACTGAACTTTGTTGGATTTTTACCTGGATTATTGAGCAAGAACTTTGATGTTCTTGCAAATAAGTTATTACACAAAATCTAAACAGCTCTCAAAGGACTTCAGACATTCTTTTTTTTAAAATATTTTTTCATTTTTCATTTAGCCTTTATTTATCCAGGTTAGTCTCATTGAGCCACGAGAACTCATTTTCAAGAGAGACCTGTTTAGGGAGCACATGGTGGGGGTTAAGGGCCTTGCTCATGGGCCCAGAGTGGGGCGAATGAGGGTGGGGGCAAGTGTGGGTGTTTCACCTACCCCACCCACAATTTTGATGTTGTCGGGGCCGGGGCGTGAACCGGCGATCTTCGGATCACAAGCCCACCTCTCTAACCTCTGCGCCACCACTCCCCCGAGTATATATACTATATATATATATATATAGTATATGTATATATATATATATTTGAAAAGAAGTTTTGGCTACTTAAGGTGGAACATAAAGATAAAATGAGAATTCCCTGCAAGCGATTTGAATGATTTCACCTACGACTCCACCTGAGGTCAAAATCAGGCTCTTTGTTTTGCTAAAGAATCCTTCAAAAACTACAGGAACTCTTCCCAGGATCTATAGTAACCTGCCCGACAGAGTCTAAACATTAGGCATCATGTTGGAGCAGCATGGGAGGTGGGTCAGAAAAGGGTTTCTGTAAAACACTGAAGCTAGACTATAGTTTGGCTGTGAATATTTTAGCAAAAACTGCAGGGAGAAGATGTGAAAGTGCAAAATAACAAAAGGCAGTTTCTTTTGTAACCCAAGTCCTATTTGTTTACTTTTAGCAAGTTTGTTTAAAATCATGCAACGTCTTCACATTTGTTTCCCTCCAGGGTGGCTGATCCGTAAAGTCTTCTTCAAGTTCTGGATTCTGTGTTGGTCAGTCCACGTGTGAAAACAAATGATAAGATATACACTGCAGTCAGGAAAGAACAAGAAACTATTGATGGAAAAATATGGTGCTTCAGTAAATTTATTTCTGATCAAGTGAGGAAAGCTCCCGTTTACAACCTCATCTTTGAGCTTGTGTAGTGATGGGAGCATCACTTTGTAACCTGATGCTCTCATCACCCTCAAACAGAATAAATCTGGACTCACTGATCTGAAGTACCTTTTTAACTGATCAAGAATCCAGATACCTTTAGTTTTCAACCCACTGTGTGTAGAAATCCATATACTGGTATATCCACTCCATCTTAATTACAGATATTATTGTTCCAAACTTTCCTAACAGAGCACTTCGGTCTCAAACTGAAGGTTTACTTGTGGTTCTTAGATTTTCCAAAATTAGAAGTGGAGGCAGAGCTTTCAGTTATCAGGCTCCTCTCTTGTGGCTCAACTTCCAGTTTCTGTCCGTAAGGCTGACACTAGGCCTGTCACAATAAAAAATTTTGCTGGGCGATTAATTGTCTCAGAAATTACTGCGATAAACGATAACATTGTTTGAAATTTGACAGTAATTAGTAATTATTGTCAAATTTAAGAAGAAATGTTTTTTGACCACTAGATAGCAGTACAAGACTGTTTGAACCGAAGGATGGATAGTGAGGGAGCGAGCAGTGTGTCTTTAAGAAAAACGGGAGAGAGGAACCCTTGATGTGACATGGGCTGTCTCTCTTCGGTTCTCAAAATGGTGGACGCTCGGTGTGATTTGAGCTCTTTAGCATAGCACTTTTCACACAAAGCTTTTAATTTAAAAAATCAGTAAACAAGTTCTCAGCTTCTTTTTGCTGAGAAAAAACAACTTTTTACATAAAGGCACAAGTTTCAACCGTGAATTTTGGAGCTTCGACAAGACAGAGGTTTTTTCCCCAAGATCGGCCTGTTAGCTCGTAGCTTAGCTTCTCAGCTTAGCTGCTTTTAACCATCCACAAATGTGACTTTGGACGATTAAAACAGATTTTAAAGAGAAAAGTCAGTGAAGAGCACCTGAGTTGAGCCGTGTCTTCAGTAGAAAGAGAGAGACGAGGAAACAATAAAGCCGATAAATTAAAATGAGGTTGATAATTTTCATTTATCATGCGATTAATTGATTCATTGTTTATTGCGACAGGCCTAGCTGGCATATGGTCTACTTTTAAAATTAGGCTTAAGTCTTTCCTTTTTGATAAATCCTATAGTTAGGGTTGGATTGGGTTTCCTGAACTATCCCTTAGTTATGCTTAGTTATAGGCTTCGACTACTGGAGGACAAAATGAATACATTCCTCACCCTGCTGCTGTTTTCATTACTTGCTCTACTCTAACTGTTTGTATTTGTAATTATTTATATCCATGACATGCTTTTTGTCTATCTTCCAATAGAAAGTGCACCTGGACCTGCCATTCTGTGTTAGTTTCAGCTGGTCGAAGCTGATGGCCGTTCATCATGAGACTTGTTCTGCTGGAGGTTTCTTCCTGTTAAAAGGGAGTTATTCCTTTCCACTGTTGCCTTTGTGCTTGCTCAGGATGGGAAACTGTGACAAAGACTCAATGCAACATGCTGGCTTCCTTAAATAACTTTTACGAATTGGCTTTTTTATGTATGTGGATGTTTCTGTTCAATGCCCTTAGATGACTTCTGTTGTGACTTGGTGCTATATAAATAAACTGAATTGAAATTGTCTGAATTTAACTATCAAACACTGCCATGACTTTGATAAGATTTTTTTTTAATTGACCAACATTTGTGTGGTCTCCAGTGCTGCTAATATGAATTTGTTTTTCAGTTTTCCTCTAAGAAGCAGATTAAACACTATCCTTTCAGATTTTATGAATGTGTTGACTTGATATTAACCCAGTTTCAGCAATCTCCTCACACACAACAATGCACAACAATAATTTCCTCTTTTTAAAACTTTTCTTCTCACAAACACAAGATGGGTGGACTGACAAGCAGGCCGTTGTATCTTGTTGCCAGCTGAAACACATTCAGTGTCACCATTGTCAGAGTGAATAAACTGGGTTTAGTTCTGACACGTGCAAGATACAGCACAGTGACCCTTAATTCTCTTGCTGCCCTTTCCTAAATCCTCTTGGAGCCCAATTTACCGAAGGATGCAGAACAAAGCTAGTTTCATGAATACATTAACTCTCAACCACTAATAACAGATGGATCCGTGACATTTATGGAAAAGATCATGTTTTCCATAGGAACCTCTCTAGAGACAAATTATGTACAATATTTCTAATTTTTTTAAAATACATTAGCTGTAACTGGTCACCTTAAAGGGACAATTCAGACAATTTAGGTGTTGTATACTAATGTGTAATCCAGCATGTAAATCCCCAAACTTTTATTTGAAACTGCATTTTATTTAAATCGCCAAAACATTCTGAGATCTACGGAGAAAATTTGCTCTTACGCTTTAATATCTGTTAGCTTGACACCTAAATGATTCTCCAAACTGGAATCACTCTGACTGCTCTCTGATGAAGATAGTGACTGCTCCGAAGTACCGCACAGTACTGTCAGCTACTGCTGCTCCTGTTTGTGTATTGACACCGTGTTTATTGCCTCTCTGAGTTTGATACCCTCTGCTACGTCTTCTATCAGTAAAAAGTAAAATCCATCCATTTTCTTCTGCTTACCCAGGGTCGGGTCGCGGGGGTAACAGCCTAAGTAGGGAGGCCCAGACTTCCCTCTCCCCAGCCACATGGGCCAGCTCCTCCGGGGGAATCCCGAGGTGTTCCCAGACCAGCCGAGAAACATAGTCCCTCCAGCGTGTCCTGGGTCTTCCTCTGGGTCTCCTCCCGGTGGGACGTGTCCGGAACACCTCACCAGGGAGGCGTCCAGGAGGCATCCTAACCAGATGCCCAAGCCACATCAACTGGCTCCTCTCGATGTGGAGAAGCAGCGGCTCTACTCTGAGTCTCTCCCGGATAATCGAGCTTCTCACCCTATCTCTAAGGGAGAGCCCAGACACCCTGTGGAGAAAACTCATTCGGCCGCTTTTATCCGAGATCTCGTTCTTTCGGTCACAACCCAAAGCTCATGACCATAGATGAGGGTAGGAATGTAGATCTATTGGTAAATTGAGAGCTTCGCCTATTGACTCAGCTCTCGTCATCATGACAGACCTGTACAGCGCCCGCTTCACTGCAGACACTGCACCTATCCGCCTATCGATCTCAAGCTCCATTTTTCCCTCATTCGTGAACAAGACCCCAAGATACTTGAACTCTTCCACTTGGGGCAGGACCTCCTCCCTGACCTGGAGAGGGCACTCTACCCTTTTCCGGCTCAAGACCATGGCCTCAGATTTGGAGGAACTGATCTTCATCCCGGCTGTGTCGCACTCGGCTGTGAACTGCTCCAGCGAAAGCTGTAGATCACGATCTGATGAAGCCAATAGGACCACATCATCTGCAAAAAGCAGAGACGCGATCCTAAGGCCACCAAAATGGATCCCCTCAACACCTTGGCTGCGCCTAGAAATTCTGTCCATAAAAGTTATGAACAGAATCGGTGACAAAGGGTAACCTTGGCGGAGTCCAACTTTCACCAGGAACGAGCCTGACTTACTGCCGGCAATGCGGACCAGGCTCTGACACCGGTCATACAGGGACCTAACAGCCCGTATCAAAGGGCCTGGTACCCCATACTCCCAGAGTACCCACCACAGGGTTCCCCGAGGGATGCGGTCGAACGCCTTCTCCAAGTCCACAAAACACATGTAAACTGGTTGGGCAAACTCCCACGCACCCTCCAGGACCCTGCTGAGAGTGTAGAACTGGTCCAGTGTTCCACGACCAGGATGAAAACCGCACTGCTCCTCCTGAATCCGAGGTTCGACTATCCAACGGACCCTCCTCTCCAGAGCCCCCGAATACACCTTATCAAGGAGGCTTAAGAGCATGATTCCCTGTAGTTGGAACACAATCTATGATCCCCCTTTTTGAATAGGGGGACCACCACCCCGGTCTGACAATCCAGGTGAACTATCCCTGATGTCCACGCAATATTGCAGAGTCGCGTAAGCCAACACAACCCTACAACATCCAGAGCCTTAAGGAACTCCGGGTGAACCTCATCCACCCCTGGGGCCCTGGCACCAAGGAGCTTTTTAACCACCTCGGTGACCTCAGCACCAGAGATTGGAGGGCCCGATCCAGTGTCCCCAGTCTCCTTCCTCAGTGGAAGACGTGCCGGTGGGATTGAGGAGGTCTTCAAAGTATTCCGCCCACCGACCCACGACATCCCGAGTTGAGGTCAGCAGCACACCGCCCCTACTATAAACAGTGTTTGTGGTGTACCGCTTTCCCCCCTGAGACGCCGGATGGTGGCCCAGAATTGCCTTGAAGCCATACAGAAGTCATTCTCCATGGCCTCTCCAAACTCCTCCCATGCCCAAGTTTTTGCCTTAGCGACCACTTGAGTCGCATGTCGCTTGGACTGCCGGTACCCATCAGCTGCTTCCGGGATCCCACAGACCAAAAAGGCCCGATAGGACTCCTTCAGCCTGGCGGCATCCCTCACTGCCGGTGTCCACCACCGGGTTTGAGGGTTGCCGCCCCGACAGGCATCGACAACCTTGCGGCCGCAGCTCCGTTAAGCCGCCTCGACATGTTCTGTGCCTCTATTGTCCAGGCAAAAAGTTGTTCCCTCGCCCGGACGTGAGTCACCGGGGCCCCACTCTAGAGCCAGGCCTGGAGGTGGGGCACGCTGGCAAGCGCCTGGTGGACGGGCTTTTACCCATGGAGCTCGGCCGAGCACAGCCCGAAGAAGAGACGTGGGTCCCCCTTCCCATGGGCTCACCACCTATGGGAGGGGCCAAAGGGGTCGGGTGCAATGTGGGATGGGTGGTGGCCGAGGGCGGGGACCCTGGCGGTCTGATCCTCGGCTACAGAAGCTGGCTATTGGGACGTGGAATGTCACCTCACTGGTGGGGAAGGAGCCTGAGCTGGTGTGTGAGGTTGAGAGGTTCTGGCTAGAAATAGTCTGACTCACCTCTACGCATGGCTCTGGCTCTGAAACCAGTTTCCTTGAGAGGGGTTGGACACTCTTCCACTCTCGAATTGCCCCTGGTGAGAGGCGCCAAGCAGCAGTGGACATACTTATTTCCCCCCATCTTGGTGCCTGTGTGTTGGGGTTCACCCCGGTGAATGAGAGGGTAGCCTCCCTCCGACAACGTGTGGGGGGACGGGTTCTGACTGTCGTTTGTGCTTATGCACCAAACGGTAGTTCAGATTATTCACCCTTTTTGGAGTCCTTGGAGGGGGTACTGGAAAGTGCACCTCCTAGGGACTCCCTTGTTCTGCTGGGGGACTTCAATGCTCACGTGGGCAATGACAGCGAGACTTGGAGGGGTGTGGTTTGGAGGAACGGCCCCCCTGATCTGAACCCGAGTGGTGTTCTGTTGTTGGATTTCTGTGCTCATCATGGATTGTCCATAACAAACACCATGTTCAAGCATAAGGGTGTCCATTTGTGCTCTTGGCACCAGGACACCCTAGGCCGCAGTTCGATGATCGACTTTGCCGTCGTCTCATCTGATCTGCGGCCACATGTCTTGGACACTCGGGTGAAGAGAGGGGCGGCGCTGTCCACTGATCACTACCTGGTGGTGAGTTGGCTCCGATGGTGGGGGAGGATGCCGGTCAGACCTGGCAGGCCCAAATGTATTGTGAGGGTTTGCTGGGAACATCTGGCAGAGTCTCCTGTGAGACGGAGCTTTAACTCCCACCTCTGGGAGAACTTCAAACATGTTCCGGGGGAGGTATGGGACATTGAGTCCTGATACCAGCCTCAAAAACACCCCGATACTTCAGACCGGTACCACTTTAATGCTTGGTGATATAATTTCCTCTTCCACTTCTCAAGGAACCCAGCATAAAAACAAACAAACTAAAAAAATGTTTGGAGATATTTTAGGATAAATACAGGCGGTGATAAAACAGTTGACCGTTTGTTGTATTCTTAAAAAAAAAAAAGTGTTTCTAAAGTCGTGTAAATACTGACTCATTGCCCAATAAATATCAGTATCGGCAAGTACCCAAACTAAAGTACTTGTACTTGGATTGATTGAATGAATGAATTAATAAACCACCATTTTTTCCCTGCCTACTTACAGAAGTTCCTTATCAGAAATAAACAGAAAAGAAAACTATTAAAAAAGTTATTTCAGTATAATCCATGAACTGAATCTCAAATGTATTTGCAAGTTTTAAAGGAAAAAAAATAAATAAAATAAATAAATCATCCAAAAATTTCCATACCAACCTGTAAGTAAACTAAACAAGGGTACGAGTGTGTCTGTACAACCATTTAAGGTTAAACTGTGGTAAAGGATTTACCACAAAATGTTAACTACTAAAACCATTTATTAGACATAAACAATCAAACCTCAGTGGTTTTAGATTTTCAAATAATCTACATTATTATAATTTGTTAGTCATTGTTCAATAAGTCCTCACAAGCTCTCTTAACATGTGGGACAGTTCTACACACCTAACATTTGGCTGCCAAACTTCACAAAGAAATAAAAACAACTTATACTGGTAACAACAATTAAAAGAAAAGCAAGATCAAATAACTGCTCACCAGGCGTCCAGGACCAAGACCTTTGACGACAACGCGAACAAACTTCACTCCCTTTGCTATGGCTTTCTGTTCGGACAAAAAACACAAATAAATACAATTTTTTTTTTTTTTTTTCCTGCAGCACATGCTGCACTTCTGAAAGGTCCAACAAAATCCAAATAAACCACAACAATCATGAACTACAGCCACACCTTACTGTCTATACAGATAATATTGATAAAAGAGTTAATCAAAACTTAGATATTTTTT